CCGAGCCCGACATGTGCGCCGCCCGGATGCCGCCGCTGGCCCACGTCTTCCGCGGGACTTTCGTCCACGCCACCTGGACCTCCCCCATGGAGGTGCTGCGGGACCACCTGCTGGGCGTGAGCGACGGCGGCAGAGTGAGTGCGCGGGGACGGTGGCGGGGACCGGCCGGGCCGCGGAGTCCCGGCTCTGTCCGCGCCCGCGCGCGGCGCCCCAGTTGGACTTGTGCGCCCGGCTCTGCGGACGCGGGGACACCCCTGCTCCGGGTCCCGGGCCGGCCTGGGAGTTTCCGGGAAGAGCCCGGACAGGGGGAGCAGTCGGCCCAGTCCTGATCGCCAGCCGGCCGGCCGTCTGGGCTGCAGGGTCAGAGGGAGGCGAGGATGTGCTCCCCGGTCTCGGGAGATTGGCAGTGAACCAGAGCCGAGCTTCATTCAACTTTACACCTCTGCCGCCGGCGCGGAGCCTGGCACGGAGTGGGCGCTCCGTAAATTCGGTAGAATTTTTTGTGAAAACACTGACAGAGGAGGGATCATTGAATCGGTGTTGGTTAGTCTGTTCAGGGTCTAGGGTAAGCAAAGAACTGATTTCGTGCACTTGGTCATTCAGCAGGGCCAGTATACTGATTGACTAGTAACAGTAGCCTAGAAAAATTTCATTCTCTCTGTCTCTCTGTCTCGTGTCTCTCTGTCTCTCTGTCTGTCTGTCTGTCTGTCTGTCTCTCTCTGTCTCTCTCACACACACAGCCATTTGCATCAAAGCAAGCAGTTCCATTTTTACATTCAAAATGTCTTCTATGAATGTATCTTCTCTACTTTTTTTTTCTAAAAATGAAATTTTTACAAAGGACGAAAGTAATTGGATATCTAATATTTACTGTTCTGTAAACGCAAGTGGTGACAGCAGTGAGCCCTGACCAGTTTAATAAGTGAAGCTATTCCATTTGGGGAAGAAAAACAAATCTGAGGATGGGATATTTTTGAACCGGTTCCCAACTCTTAGTTTGGTTAGCAAAACACACAAATTTACTGTCTGTCAGGTTGAAGACTATTCTTACCTAAAGATATTACTGAGTCAGTGACAGTTTTGAATGGTGTCTCTTCTCTGACATTTGGAGATAAAAAAAGAAACCCTGTTTATATGGTGCTCAGAAAAATAATCTCTCCATGCATATGTGGGAGGCCTGCTGTCGTGTTTCCAAGGTGATACAACTCTCAGTGCTCACCTGATGCTGTGATTACCGGGTCCTGAGACTGGGGCATCCTTGCGGGGGACATAGCCTGAAAGTTTCAGGGAACTCAAATTTGGGGTGGGTCCCAGGAGGCCATAGAGGCTGCTTACCAGGTGAAAGATTGGAGGTGACAGTCTAGCACAGCAGCTGATCAACATCTAGATTTCTTTTAAAAAATCAGTTTCTTATGCCTGGGATTCTCATGGATAGGGTAGCAGGGTTTGGGAACTGGCTTTGACAGGAGCTTGAAGAGTAAGAAAAGGAAGTAAGTTATCTAAAAAATTACCTTTCGTGGGGCTTGTGCAGAAAAGGAATAAAAGAGTACCCCAAATATGCAGTTCGTGGTTGAGTCAGACAGTCCATTTCTAACTAAGGAGTGTACTGAGATTATAAATGTAGAAAACATGCCATTCCCTCACCGATAAAATTAACTAGCCATTACAAAGATGAGTTAGGTGCGTTAGATTTAAGGCGGAAATCCATAATCAATGACTTGCTAGAGACTGCTCCCTTCCCAGGGGCAAGGCAGTCAATTCCTGACTGTATTTAAAGGGAATGACGTGTTAATACATTTCAAGATTAGATTTCCCCGTGTAGAAATAAGGAATGTTTCACCTTTGGGATTGCTGGGATAAAGTATGTGTTTATTATGTAAAGTTTCTAACGTTGGAAAAATAATATCCCTTGAAATAAATAAATATGTGGAATCGCTATGATCTTTACATTCTTACCAAGCTCCAAAAACTGTTCTTGTGGTGAATGTTGGGATGATTCAGAAACCTCTGCAGGTGTGTGTTAAAATGCTGATTCCTGGGCACCACCCTCAGAGAATCTGAATTCATGGGCCTGGAGTGGGCCCGGGGGTGGCAGCCCAGCACTAGTCCCAGGAGATTCAGACACAAGTAGTCGGAGAATTACACACTGAGTTACCACGATAGGTAATTTGAGGGATGGGGCGAGCTGTGAGAGGGGACACAATTTCCTCTGTCCTCCTTCTGCCTTCTAGACCTCACCCCTCATTTTTTGTAAATTCATTAGACCCGCAGAAAGCTAGTAACTCTACTTAGTTCATTAAATTAAAGCTCATTCAAAATTAGCTGAACTTAAACAATCTTCCAGCCAACATTGTGGTATTAGGCATTTTGAATTCATAGCTAATTTTTCTACTTAAGCAGCATGTAGCTTTTTTTTTTTAAAAAAATGAAGACTTCAACATGTGCGATTCAGATATTTGCAGATATTTAATGAATCTTGAGCTACTGTGCGCTCAGATATTGCTGAGTTCCCTGCGGCTTCTCACATACGCCAGAGCCAAGTGGACTTCAAATTTACATCAAGATGCCTTGGGACTTGGAACGCACACTTCCACAGAGGCAGGAGTGAGGAAGAGAATTATTTTGGGTGTAGTGTGCTGGCTGGCAGGAGTACATTCTATGGAGAAATAGAAGCCTGGGTTTAAGAGTCTTTACCAGTTAGCTGCTCTGAGACCATGGGTGAGACGCCTAACCTCTCTGAGCCTCGGTTTCCTCAGCTGTAGAATCAGATTTCCTTTCATCGACTATTAGATGACTGGTTATATGGAAATGCCAGGCCCTTGGTGTGTACTTAACCTGAACGCTGTTCATTCCACCCCCTTTTTCCTCTGTCTCTTACGAATCTTCAGCCTTTTGCCCACTGTAGCATTTTTGCACATTTCTTCATGGTGGTATCCGTGCAGGCCAAGGGTAGAGAAGGAAGATGCGGCCTGGGATGAGCTAGGTGGGGAGACTTGCCAGACCTCTGAGGACGCAAAGATACACCTGGGGAGGAAGATACAAGGAGCATTTGCAGCTAGGTTTGCTGGCATGTTATTTTCAGTGTTTTCTTAAGTCTACACGGTGTCATCTTTCCCTCTGACAGATAAAGTCGAGGCCTGAGAAATCAAGCATCTAAAGATAATAGTGTTATAGCTGGATTCTGAAATAGGGACCCAAAGGTCATGTTCCTTTCAATGCTTCCCTAAGGCCTGTCTGTGACCTTAAAGAGCTTGCACTTCAGCAAAGCAGCTAAGATTTGTTGCTCTCATTAAAGCAGGTTGATTCCCGAGCTAAATACTGAGTTCATCACTGGAGATGAGTTCTGATGAACAAAGTGCAAAAACTGCCCCAGTGAGATTGATAATTTAGTGATACATTGACAGAACCTGCCATGACCTATCAGAACTTGAACTAGTCTGGGTGTAAAAGGAAGGTTTTGCCCAGGGTGAAGTGACATTTAAGTAAGGATTTGAAGGGTGAGTAGAAGTTAGTTAGGTTAAGGCAAGCAGGATGCAAAGAAGAGGGGATGTTCTAGGTAGAGGAAACAGCCTGTGCAAAGGTCCTGAGGTAGGAAAGAAGTAAAGGTCAGGGTGGCTAGAGTCCAAAGAGGGGAGGTTGAGGGGACAGATGCACAAGGTAAGGCAGGACAGGTAGGCAGGGCAAGAGTAGGCGTGGGGAGCGGGGGAGGGGTTGTACCATGATCATATTTTTGTTATTTTTAAAGGTCATTTTACGCTTAGAATAAAGACTGCATTGAAAGTAAGTTGAGGGCCATTCAGGAGGTCAGCTTGGATCCTGTTGCAGTAGTTTAAGTGAGGTGGAATGTGAGTTACATGAGAGGGGCTGTGTGTGGTGTGTCAGTGAAGACAAATGACTGAGCATACTTCTACCACACATTACCTGTGTGAATTTGTCAAGTTACCTAACATTTCCATGTCTCAGCTTCCTGATATAGAAAATGATTAGGGTAGTGTATCAGTGTATCAAGTGTATCAGTGTATCAAGAAGTGTACACCGTAATTCCCGTGCGTAGCGCACGTTCAGTGGGCATTCCTGTTATTATCAGCAATGGCGGTAGAGAGAGGTGGACAGAATCTGTAGCTGTTTAGAGCAAGTCACCTTGCTTGTGTTTGTAGAGTTAGAAGGCATGAGCATCAAGACAGATGTGGGTAGGTAACAGTACGGACCAAGTGTGTGAACGAACGTAGTACCCTGGGCACAGGTTGGCCAGTGAGAGGAGAGGCTTCTTGAAGGAAATAGACATTGAGCTGAGCTGTAGAGAAAAAGCTAGGATGTGAGCACAGAAAGGGGCTAAAGAGGCCCAGCAAAGAGAATGAGCTAGTGTGCTTCGGTTCCCAAGGCCGCTGAGGAAAAGTTATTTTTCACCTGAAATTGCTTCACCATCTTGCTTTGCCAGGAATTCTCTCAGGCTGAGTCACAAATACTTAGTGGTTCTGTGTCATCTTTTCCTTCTGCTTGGAAGGGTGAGGATCCATCTTCCTGCCAAGCTCAAAAACTCAGAATATCCTCCTGGTCTCAGGGAGAGAAATTGGGCTAAGCCATCCCTTCTGAGACTGCTGAAAGAGGAAGTTGGCTTTCGTACAAAGATGCATTCAGGCCCAAGTATCACGAGATCATCCTGTGAGTTCCTGATTTCTTTGTTCAGAATATTCACGGCAAACATGATTGGTTATCTGCTCTACAGCCCTGACCTTTTCTTTATTAATACATCCTGACTTTGTTCAGCTTCGGAGGTGTTTGGTTCATGGATACGTTGTGGTGTAGGTCGGTCATGATAACCCTACACTCACCACATGCTTATTTTCACGGGTTTCTATATTGCCAGCCTCAGAAGGGATGGCTTAGCCTAGTTTTCTTCTCAGGGACAAGAGGATATTCTGAGTTCTTGAGCTTGGCAGAAAGGTGGATCCTCACACTCCCAAGCAGGCAGGAAAGGGAGACACAGAACCGTTCAGATGGAGAGAATGTCTGGCAAAGGGAAACAGTGAAGGAATCATCTTTGGTAGCAAAGGGTGGCCAGTGGTGACTTTCTGGAGCAGAGGAGGTCTGCTCGGACACTTCCAGGCTGTGGGAGGCCGTGCCTTTCTTAGGT